CTTTCCCAGGTGCCAGTGTGACTCCCCTCTTTACCTGCAATAGACTTTACAAAACTATGTGTTCCCTTCCCAGTGAAGACGTTCTTGATAATCCAATTTAAAATTAAGAGCCAAGCTAGCCCATGGCAGGCTGACTGAGTGGTTCAAGTTCTGGACTGGTAGCTTGCAAAACACACCAGGTGCATGTGCGTGTAGATGCCCAAAATCCCAAGAGGAGAATGAAGGAGAAGGGATTGTGGCATGGCCATTCCCCCTTGGGGATGCTTTCTCATTTCCTCCCCACCCCCCACACCTGCCCTGTTGAGTATCCTACAGCAAAAATAAACAAAAAATTAAGAGCCACTTACCAACTCATGATCTTTTTTCCCTACTTTGCTTTTCTCCATTGTACCTTACTGAACTGTAACTTAAACAAATAAGAAAAATACATGTCATGTGGCTTCCATACCTGAGAGGAAAATTCCCTGATGGCAGGGTATCAGGATATCTATAAGTTTGGTGAATGGTTCTGTCCCTAAGAGCTAGAAAATGCTTAGTACCTCATCAATCAGATAAAGATGGGGTGACTGAATGACTCTTTGGTGGTATAGAAATTTATATGATTTTTTAAAACATGTTTTATTTACTTAAGGTATTGTGAGCCATTGTTATAGTATTGAGTAGTCTTCCTTGATATGATTATACTGACTGTTTAACATCTTGTTGATTCTGTTGAGTGAGTGTACCATCATTTATACAACCATTAGCATTTTCCTGATACTTCTAGTTCATTATAAATCTTTATCATAAAGCATTTGTTATGTGCATGGGTAAGAGGAAGAGAAATATATACTGATAACACACATATGTGTATTTTGACACAGTGAAATGGATGTCTATGACCTGTGGACACTAGACATTCCCCATGCTGACCCTCATTCTTCTTCTGCAGGTGGTTGCCATAACAGCCTTAAGCCGATCAGCAACAGTCCCACAATTGCCATTGCTGCTGCTGCTGCTGCTGCTGCTGCTGCCATGGTCTCTGTGGACCCTGAGGGATTCCGGGCCCCATCACCCTCCAGTGTGCAGCCTTGTCACTTCCTGACATTGGCACCCATCAAAATACCCCTCCGGACAGCTCCCTTCTCAGGTAGGCACAGAGCATAGTCTCTCAATACCTTTCTTGTGCTGCTCCCAGAATTCACAGTATGACAGGCAAGGCAGGGGTCAGATGACCTCCAGGTACTCAGTTTCCTGGTCAGTTGCCCACTGTTCCTGGAAGTATGTGCTGTGGGACATTTAAGGCCAGCTCTGGGTAGGGACATTTGACTGAAGTCATAAAGGGTTTGATTGATTTTAAACTTCACAAATGCATCTCGATGCACTGGACCAGGTCTTGTTAAACCATTCTGACATTTTCTGCCATTAAGTCAGGTTTAAAGTTTCTGTTTGGAGAAATGAAACTTCTCTTTTCTTACTCTTTCAGGGAGTAATACATGTATCTAATAGTGTGAGGACTCCAAAAAGTTTGTAGTTTTCGTATGTGGAGTGTGGAAGAAAGCCAGGAGGGCATCCTAGGGAAATAAGCTTCTGGGCTGGTGATAAACAAGAAAATAACTCTCACTAAACTTCCCACCCTGAGATTGTCAGCTGGATCAGTTCAGAGCACTTGGAGTAGTGGCTTATCAACTATGACAGGTCTGAGTATAAGAGGTAGAGTGGCGATAAAGACATTTGAGCTCATAAATGCAGTGAGCATACTTCCTTTAATAAATATCCTGAGGCTGAGATGCATGGATGAGAGGCCCAGAGGGGAGAAGGAAGGACTAGGATTCTATATTAGTTGCAACTCTGTTGTTCAAGTGTGTTTATAGCTATGATATATCTATGTATTAACTCTAACCAGCATGCTTTGTGTTTGAGCCAACCTTGTGAAATGCTGGTTTCTTCAAACATAACAATAACAACAAACAATTTGGAATGCTATAGAGTAAATTCTCAGTTCTTGTGATTTAGTAGCATTACTTTAATTTTAGTTTTTCATGTGGTATGGTAAAACTTAAACAAATTTTGTAGCAGTATCATTAATTGCTAGATTATCAGTAATAGAAGACATATCACTGGATTATGATACATACACACACATACACATACACGCATACACACATAAAAAATACTTTATGATAGAAAGACAAAGAACCTAGTTTTTTAATACTTTCTAATTTTAAGAGTGTTTTTGGTTTGTTGATTTTGTTTCTGGTAAATCTAATGTAGTTCTTTTCAGTGCTGGCATTCCATATTTCTATATATCAATGTGATGAATTAGTTGATCCGTTGGAGGTTGTATTCTCAATAACAAAATCCTTTTTCTATTTCAGCATGTCAGTGAACATGTATTTAAGGTGTAATGGGGAAAATAAATAAAACACATGGATAATCCTGTCTAGCATATAAATTACAACCGTGCCAAGATTTTGGTTAAAATCCATTAGTCCGTTGATATTTATTAAGGGTGACTTACTATTTTTTGAGAAAATTAATCTTAGAACCTAAAACTGTGCATCCCAGGGGTGGCTTTACTTCCCAGGTCTCTTATGTGATTTATACAGTGACAAAATAATTAGGCATCTTTCCATGTTTGCATTTTATAAGGTTCTATAATCAAATTTGCCATGATGTGCATTCAGTTAGAAAAAGACAAGCATCAACATTATCTATCTTATAGATAACTGCCAAAACGAGCTGTCAAAAAAGATGAAAAAGGTGTTACTCAAAAGGTGGCTTCTGAAATTGCCTTCACCATATTAACATCGATCTATTTGATCTAAAAACCCTGCTCTGTAGTGGAGGATACAGATAGAAGCTGAAACAGTTAGGGGCCAAGTTCGGACCAATGGCCAGGTCTGAACTATGAGCTGTGTGGCCAGCTCAGGTTTCATGATGGATAAAACTCTACCCAGTGCACCTTCAAGTGAGAGAGTTCTTTGGGAGGTATGACCAATAGTGTTTTCTTGGCTGGCTATACCCATAGAGAAAATCTTTATACAATTTCCTTTCAGTACTTTGAAAACCAAAGCATGAAGGAGATTGAGGGATAGGGAGTTGCCCATCAGGGCTCCATAGAATGATGAGATGGAGTTATTGACTATTGTGGTGAATATTCTCAATAGACACCCAGGCAGCCTGCTAGAAAATTCCTGCCATGCCTTTAAATAGGGGAACTGGGCAGGAGGCAGGATAAGGACAGAATATGCCATGGAGAGTGAAACGGGAGGATAGGCACAGAGGGAACAAAACATCGTCAACAGCAAAATATGCTTTGATACACTATGAAAAACACACCTCTCTATGAACTTTGCTCCATATTGAAACTGAGTTTACAAAAGCACGTGACATTTAATTTATCTACACATGGATGACCCTGCTTTCATTAGGAAGTAAAAATTCCTACTTTAAATAAATAAACTTTACTATTTTATTTATACCGTTGGCTTGGTAAAGCAAGCCAAAAACCCTTAGAGATTCCATATGATTTAAGTTAATGGTTCTCAACTGGGGACACTTTTGCCTCGTGGGGAATGTTTGACAATGGCTAGCAACAGTTTTTGGCTCTCTTATCTTCAAGGATTATTACTGTAATCTAGTGAGTAGATGCTGTCACACATCCTACAACCCCAGACAGTCCCCATGATGAATAATTATCTGGCCTAAACTGTTAGCAGTGCCTCAGCTGAGAAACCCTGGTTTATGTTATTTGAACTCTACTTAGCAAACTGTGAAACTGTATCAGTGCGTGGAGAGTTAATGTTCCATTAACTGAAGGACCCTGAAGGAATTTGATTCTGTTGGAAAGAAGACAGAGCCTAAGGATTACACTTAATTATATGTCTTTATCATGATTTAGAGTTTTGAGTAAGAAACCATATAATATTTAAAGAACCCCATGATCAGTTCCAAATTTAGTCATGAACTAGATTTTCTCTTTCAGAGTGCTATCGGCACACACAGCATAGCTAGTCCCTGCTGCTACTCCTCCACCAGACTTGGGGCTATTGGCCTCAGTCTGTTTATATGATTGCCTCTTCCTACACTGCAAGTCACCTACTAGTGGAGCTGTGTCTTTCTGTCCTTGCCCTGCCTGCATGAGAATCACACTTGATGAGCTCACTGCTGTATGCACTGAACTCAGCAATTGCCCTCACTTCAGGGACCACTCTCCATGTTGTACATTGGCAGGATGAGTAAACAGGTTGCTTATTAATTCACATCATTTCTAATGCTATTTTTTTTTACCTCTTTACTCCTAAGTCATAGGGTAAGGGAAGTTTAAAAGATGCAGGGCAGTGTTTCCTGGGAGATAATGCTTCTAATCAAAGTGATGCCTCCTTTCAGCAATACCTAAAGTGCTAGTCCATTAAAATACAGGCTTGTGATGGCTAGGGACAAGCAACTGAAGAAGGCTGAAAGGAGAAAGATCACTTTCCTCTTCATTTTCTTCAATCAAGATTAAAAAAAAAAGTTTGCCACATTTCACTGTTCCTTTAAACCCTAGAGTTTCAGGTTGAAGAAGTAATAGATTCAAAAAGATTATAGTATTAATAAAGAAAATTAAAGAAAATTTTAAAAAAAGAGAAAAAAAAAGAAATAACAGATTCAGAGGTGAAAGGTATTTTATTTCTTTGACAGTCCTCATTCTGCAGTCTATCCCAATTTCAAACAGCTTGAATCATGGGTTCTGGAGCATGCTCAGTGTGCTCCGAGATTCTGGGACACAAACCCAGTACTTTTTCCACGTGGGTCCAGTTTTGTTAGCACTGCACCACTACCTAGTCCCAAAAAGGTACCTGTGTCATAATTACTACTTAGCTTTTAAGGAGAGCATGCTGTTTATCAAGGGCAAAAGGAACACCATGCAGAAGGATTTGTCAAAGAGAACAGAAATGTTTTCCTGGCATTCTCCAGGATTGAATCTCCTTGACTGGAAGCCACTCAACAACTGCTCTGCTCAAACTTTATGGCAGGAAGGGTAATATGGGGACCTGCGCCAATGAGATAATTATGTTGCAACAGGACTCTGGTGTCTGCTCCTATGTGATGGAATAAATCAAATGATTCTTATTTTAAGAATGATAGTATTTATTTTTAAAACATGGCCCACCACTTCTTAAGCATTCAAGTGAGAAAAGTATAATACAAGTGAGTAGTTATGATCTCTAGTAGAGCAAATTACTATCAAATACAAATATTAAAAAGTACCATCTGCCTTGGAAACCATTTGCCACCTGTTCTTTTGCTTCCAGAACTATTTAATGGTTTAAATTTAACATTTTGTCCTGCCACAGAACAGCTGGGAAGTGACTATTTTTTGTTCTATCAGTAACTTACCAGCCAAGCTACATAACAAGTCAGAAAAGTCTCCAAGCCAGATTTCTACAACACAGCCTTTCATGTGGCTGTCGGCTTCCCTCATTAGTGAGATCTGCAGATGCTAAAACAGGTTCCATAACAACAATAATCCAGTCATTTGGGGATAAAGTCTTTTCTTTCTTCTTTTTTTAATTCAGGAATTCTTCCTCCTTGACTACAATAAAAATATTGTAATACATATTATCAATTTAGATTTTTTAAGAGGTAAAAATACTATAACAACATTATTACTTATACCCTAAAATGCCTGAAACTCAACTGTCTTCTATGAGAAAGACATATGGAGGGTTCTAGCTACATTTAGGGGAAAAATTATTAGATTTAAAGAAAATTAAAAATAAAACTTCTGTATAAGTTTAATGCCCATAAAATACAACTATATATATAAAACCTAACATTTTTACATTTAGGTATGTAAGGTGCAGAACTTTTTACATGGAGATCCCATTGTTGGGATACAAAGATGAGAATTGCTTTCCTGCAGAGTCATTCACATCAGCAAG